CCATGGAGAGAGAGGCCTTGCTCCCGAGATGGAACAGCCTGGCCTTGGGCCTGCACTCAGGGGACAAGGGACCCATGGTGCAGCAGTTTTGGGACGACTGTCTGCCCATGGGGGGACTCACGCAGCAGCAGATGTGTGTGGACTGCTGCTCGTGAGAGTGGAACCACGATGGAGAGGTTCACCGAGAACTGTCTCCCGTGGGAGGGACCCCACGGCAACGCAAGGGAAGGACTCCTCTCCCTCAGCATCCGATGATGAACTGACCAACCCCACACCCTGAACTGACCAACCCCACACCCTGAACTGACCAATCCCACACCCCGAACTGACCAATCCCACACCCTGTTCACCCCCCCTGCTTTGTAGTCGGTGRGAAGCGGGGAGCTCATACGCATGCACTCCAGCCTATGCAATCTTAGTGACACCGCTGCATTTAAAACCACGTGTCAGTTTCTTGTGCTGGGCAGCAAAAACAGTACTCCAGAAGCAGTCTCACAAGTGCCACAGTGAGCTAAAAATTACTTCTCTAGGCATGCTGGTTACAGCTTGCTAATGTAATCTGGGATGAGATTGACTTTGTTTGCCCCAACTGCCAAACTGTGCTTATTGTGTCCACCAGCACCACAGGTCCCTTTCTACAAAGCTGCTTTTCAGTCAGTTCACTTCCAGCATGTGCAACACTTGTCTTTGCAGAGCTTGGTGAGACTCCTGGCAATGCATTCCTCCAGCCTGTCTCGGTCCCTCTGAGTAACAGCCCTTCCCTCTGGCCTATCAACTCCTTCCCTGCAGGCTGGTATCCATGAATCTGCTGATAGTGCAAGCTCTCCCATTAGATCAGATCATTAGAAGTGAAGACATCAAATTGCATTTGCCCCAGAATCTGTCCCTGAGGACTGYGACTGGCAACCAGCTGTGGATGGACTTTGTACTGCCAGTCACAACCTGTTTGGCCTGGTATTTCAACCAGTTTTCCATCCACCTTATCATCTGCTTATCCTGTCCATATCTCACTACTTTGACTGGTAGGATACTATCAAAGACCTTGGGTAAAGCTCCACTAAAGTCAAGGTRAACAACATTCACAACTCCTTCCTCATCCACAGAACCAGTCCACCTCACAATGATCAACCAATCACGTTGATCAGGGTCAATTTGCCCAAGGTAAATTCATGCTACCTATTTCTCATCACCTTCTGGCAATTCATGAGCTCAGAAATGGTTTCTAGGAGGAAAAAGTCTTCCAGGAGACTGGGGTTAGACTACTTAGCTTGTAGTTCCCTGGATCCTCTTTCTCAGCCTTGAAGACAGAGATTACATTTGCCTCTTTCTTCTATCCATCATGGTCCTTCCCAACATCACAGGGAAGTTGATAGGCACAGTGCCATTGGCTAGATTTTGTATTTGCATCAGTGTAGTGTCCCATTCATCCATATTGGCCTTGCACCACATTTGCTTACCTTTCTTGACTTGGAATGGACCAATTCTGTTTTTTGAGAAGGTTGCTATTGAAGGTCAGCTAGCTGTGCCAGGGCAACTGTCTGTCTCTCATGTGACCTTGCCCAGCAGATTCCCAAACAAGTTGAAATTTGCCCTCTGGAAGTCAAGACTGGTAATTTTATTATTTGTTTTGTTTGTTTACCTCAGGATTTCAAACTATACAAACTCAGAGTGATAGCCAAAGCTGCCTTCAGCCTCTACATCCCCAGACAGATTGTTCATGAGTAGTAAGTCCAGCCTGGACTTATTAGAGCTGGACTCCTCTAGTTGTCTCACCAATCACCTGTGTAAAGAAATTGTCATTGGATTTTCTGCTCTTAATCCATGCTTCAAGTGCTGACATGTTCACAACCTGGTGTTCCATAAAACAAGGAGTTGCACTTCCACAGCAGAAACCTCACTTTGCCTTCAAAACCTGAATATCCTTATCACCTGCCACAGGGAATCCGGGGGAGAAGGCTCATGTAGCACTGCTGTAGTGCTGAGAAATACTGTGGCTCTCATGCAAAGGGCCAGTAACATATCMCAAGGGTAAATGTGATAAGGTTAGAAATGTGGTGCCAAGGCCTCTTGTGACAGGTGCTACCTTCATCATCTCTGCCGAGGCTAGGAAGGGACAAGGAGACTGAGGGGACATTCTCACGTTGTTGGTGCTAGCAATCGAGATGAGTTGAGCAGCCCTATCCACGTTGAGTCCTACCCACTCACCAGTRTCCAAGGAACCCACAGCGCACTGAGACTCATCAGTGCCATGGCTGGCGTGTTTGTACCTATTTCATATAGGYTTTTACAAGCTGTAACAGTGCTGGAGATGACTCCATATTGCCATATTTCACTTGCCAATGAGCTTCCTTCATAATGTCATGTGCCCAAGAAGCCTTGATACAGTGAGGATTAGAGCTGCTTTCTTGAGGGAAGACAGGAGAATGGCCCCATACTGATTCAGTAATAAAGAGTTTTGTCAGTTCACAGCTCCTGCTTATTTAATGCGGCCATTCAATTCTGAATTTAATGATGTTTTCATAACTTTTCGAGTCTGTAATTCTGCTGTTCAAGCTCCTGAACTCTTCTTGTTCTAAAATAATGATGAATTGAAAATTTATCAGAAATACATGACCTTCTGAGGAAGCTAAGGCTCCTGGTTTGCACAGGAGATGACAGGACTCAGACTCTGTAAGTCATAATGAATGAAAAGTTGCCTTTGGAGAAAACTTGTAGAGGCACATCCACATCTTGAATGTCTAACAAACAGAAAACAACTCACTCTCTGTATGATACTTATTGTAGTAGGTCACATGACCTCTCAGCGCTGGCCCCAAGAGAAGCTTGTGTGGAGAACTCCTTGAATCATATCCTACACAAAAGGGAGAAAAGTCTCTGAGCTCGGGTAATGGGGAATTGTAGGTCCTGAAGGTAACAGAGTCTCTGCTAGGAAGCACCTACATTCTTAAACCAAGCTATTTCAGTTACCATCCATGCACAACTTTGTACATGAATAAGCCCATAAYGTCATTGATGATTTCACAAATATGCAGTTATGTTTTTAGATTATAGGAAAAGCTCTTGAAATAGGAAAAATCTCTGTGAAAACTGAGTTTTGTGTCAGTTGAAGAGTCATGTTTGGTATCTCCATATGTAATAATTAGCTGTATCTCTTTTATCATTTAAAACAGATAAAACTTCAAATAGCTATTTGGAGAAAAGATAAAAAGGATTTAAAGGATTTTAAATGAAACGAAAAACTTTGAAGGATGTCAACTGTATGTGAGACACCAGTGGCAACAGTTAAAGAAAAACTGTGATGCTCCCCTCCCAGTTCAGTCTTGAAAATTCTGAAGCACCTGGCTCCTTTTATTTTACATGACATGCTGAACTAGGCCCTGGTTTAGAAGAAAGCTGAAGTGAGAGAAAAATTCTACAAGAGCAAGTGCTTTATATCGTGATTCTCAAKTGCATGTGAAGCACAATAGCTGGGCTAGAAGAGTATGGACTTTTAGCTAAGATACGACAATTTTGCTTTTAAAAAGAGGAAAAAATAACCTATCCTGAGTTTTCATTTCCATTCTGACTTTCCATATGCTCTGCTTTATTCYAATAATAAATGCAGATTCTCTTTTATAATGTCTTATTGTGAAAGAAGATTTTTCATTGAAGAACATGAATTTACTAAACTTTGACTTCTCTGAGCTTGTCTCGAGGTCTAAACTGCACAATATTTCTTCTTCATTCAGAGGCATTTGACATGTCCTTCTGGAGCCATCCAAGGCTTCCAAGAAATTTGAAGGCTATACCTGTACTGGGACTTTCACACAGGATTAGCCATTGGATTATTCTGCAGAAACCAAACCCTTAGCTTTTGAAGATAAAGGTGGTAAAGGGCTGATGATGCCCAGCGCTGCACTATTCTGGGCTTCAGACGAACCCTTTTCCATCACTGAAATAGTGAAATTTCCACTGTGAGCTGTTAGAAGAGCTACCCCCCTTTTTATTTTAAAGTATAGCATGGATTTGATACAATTGCATGGGGAGGCTTTCTAATTGAACGTCAACAGTTTAAAGTCTGTACTTCTTTTTCAGTTGCTTAACTTTACTGTTTGTAACATAAAATAATGAGATTAACTGCAATTTCATTCTTCTCTCCACACTTATAGGGGCATCATGAATCTGCAGATAGATATTCTGTAGCTCCAGAGGCTAAGTGCTGCTGAGAGGAGGTTGAAGAAGTGGAAGATGGAAAGGAGTATAAAATGGATGAGATTTACCAGAAGTTAAAACAAATGGGTCTATGGAAGGCAGCAGTAGAGTAGGCAGTGTTTTGGTACTTTACCATTCAGGTTTAATGTTGATTGAAAACATTAATCTTACCAAAATCAAGCCTGGAATATATGTCCTCTGTCTCTTTTTTCTGCATGAAAACATATAGGAAGCAGAGCCACTCCTACAACATCCCTKATTTGCAAGATTTTAGATGTGGAATTTATTTCACATATGCATTTATTTTAAAACTTGTCCACATAAAAATAAAGGTGGAAAAAAATAGGGGGGGAGGGGGGGGGAGCATATAGCTGCTTATAAAATGAAAGTTAGTTTTCAGTTTTCTTAAAGACACCACAAGATGACAGTTGTACCCTACCTGCCCTGAAAAATACAGAGCACAGTTAACTATTCAGCCAGGTGCACTTCTTTCAAAATGCCTGTGGCAACTGGGCTAAGCAAACTAGAGGAAATATTTATCAAAAGAGCCACCATTTTATCATCCTTTTAAAGAGCAACAAGGAAGTGCTAGCAGCACCTAATTGCCTTGACTTTGGGTTTCTTCCACTCCCACATCAGTGATAACAARAGGGACAATGTTCTGTCCTGCTGTTGGTATCTGAATAGTGTGGATGCTGGAGCCTTTGAAGGTGGAATAGAGGGAGTCCTGCCTTTCTCTGATTCTTATTTCTATACTCTCTTGCACTGATGAAGCCCTTCACACAGTGGCAGCAAGTCCCTTTAAAAGGCAACTTTTTTGTCCTGTAAATTTTCAGCTGCATTAATCTTTATCTATGTTGCAATACAGATATGTGAAATGCCAATGCCAAGAGGAAGGAAGGAAGGAAGGAAGAAGAGGATGAATATATATGGTATGCTTGTTTTTGGAAGCAGCACCAGTTWAAGCAATCTTAAACCGTGGAACTTGCTGTTACCTAACTACTAGGAGTGGCTCCAGAACTTGCCACCAGTTTTGAATATTTAGTGCCTAAATGTAGAAAGCCACTCTGCTGGAGGGCAAAGCAATCACTAATATTCAGAAACTAGCTAGTCAGGCTACAAATGCTACACATTCATGAGCTACTAGCTTGGCAAGTCAGCTACTGTATTGTTAGTGGTATCATAATGTAAATTATTTACCTGCAGGTTTTCAGCATCAGGGATTTACCCAAAATCTCGGCTGTTCCTATAAAAAAACAGCACCATGACAGACTCATGTTGGTCAAGAGGAGATATGAATACTGTGCATGCATATTTTCATGTTCAGAGGTGATCCCAAGAAACTGCCTCCTTAGTTACATTACATTCCATATTTTGAGGAGATGTGAACTTTTGTATCAAAACTTGTCCAATAAAAGATCTAGGAGTTTAGAGATTATTCTTCCCCAGAGGTTTAAGTGACTCTTACAGAACATGCAATATTTGTCCCCAAATTATTTTATGTATGCAGTCTTAAGTTAATACATAATCTGGCACACAATTCAAGAGCTACTTCCTGTAGTAGCTAGTTTGTGGTAATGACATGTCATTTCTGTAGATTGTGTAAACTGCTGGCTCTGTTTTCACACTTCAATAAAATCTGTTTGCAGAGCTTGTACTTCTCCTTTCATTACAATTAGGCAGAAGTTCAAACAACAAAACTTCACTGTTCATGTCTGTAAGTTAAATAACAACTGTGAAGTATAAGATGTTTTTAAACCAATATAACAATGCACAAAACASTGCTAAGTTGTACTGAAATTGCAGTGTACTTTAAGAAGTGACTGATGTGCAAAGGAGTAACACAAGTACTGTCTTCTTGCAATTCTCCCATGTCCTCTCCATACACTCTTACTTCTTGACTGAGTAAGTGGTTCATCATGGATTATATGAGAAAGAGCTTAGTACGGCTAAACTGGGATCAAATACTATAAATGTATATACATTCAAATTATGCCTTATATCTTATATTCAGACAAAAAAATGTATTTTCATGTTAACAATCAATTTCTTCCACCTTTACAAAAAYGCTGAAAACTCATTTTTTAAGATTAAGATATATATTAAGTATTTCAAAGTTGTAAACCCTTACTAAAAKTTAATTGGCAACACTGCTGCAGAATATTAACTCAACTGGTTTCTTTGCAAGTATCTTTACTTACCATCTTTGAGTAAAGAACTGGCAGCAGTTTTGTCTGATTAATTTTGACATGAGTGAAGGATGATAAAGCCAACTGTTTATCAGTACTTAAATCCTCACTACTTTTAAAGATCCATGAGACATTAAACACAATACTAGTACTCCAGTTTTAAGAGAAGATCCAACATTTCCTGGGAAACGATGMTGAACTCCTGGACTCCAACAGACAGACATGTATATACAAACCTCTTTTAGGTAGTTGAGTTCAGGTCTAGGAAGGATTGCTGGGAGCTGTGAGTTGAAGAGCTCCTGTTCTCTGGCTGATAGGTGGGGGCACCGGCACAAAGAACAGTGCACAAGCGATGCTGGTATGGTGCTGCATTTGATAGTTTGCACTCCAAGGTGCCACCCGAGATAGCTGGCCTGCAGTGGCCTCTCCTCCTGCCACACCCAGGCTCCTGCATATGCCTATTTACTACTTCCTTTCCAAATGTTAAACTTCCCATAACTTTATTTGCATTTACAAAGCTGGGGGTTTGAATATTTACAGCTACTCCATATTTAAGATCAGCAAGCATTACTAAGGCATTAATAAACTAACCCAATTTGGTTATCAGTGGTTTTGCTTAAACTAATTTTAAGCTTGTTCCCAATATCCAGTGCGCAGTACTCTGGTGTGGCAATGGACAGAACTCCATCAGACAGGACACCCACTTTCAAAACACCTGGAGAGCTGCAGTGTTTCAATGTGCATGACAGTTTTAAAAGGCTAGTGACTGCACAGCATATGTTTTCTGGTGGAGTTTTGTCATCTACTTAGGCAGGAGGAGATGTGTTGAGCTACCTAAAAGGCCATATAAAATCCTGCCTGCCAGTTTTTCCTTCAAAAATCYGCAAACGTCACATCCCCTCACTTTCCATGAAAACATGTTCAAGAATATTGAAGCTGCTTCAATGAYTTTTTAGAGGAGTGCCTGTTTCTCTCCAGCTGGCAATGAACCAGTTGCAGGCACACAGAAGTCAAGCTACACTGATCTCTATACTTYGGAACCACAAGTGGCCATCAAAACTAGCAAGAACAGACAGAAAGCAAGTAWTTCTTTCTGTGTCCTCCCTGGAACCAGAAGAGCACCAAAAAGCAGACTTGTGGTGACTCTTCATTAGAACAGATGTTCAGTATATCATCCAAAAACCTMGTGGAGTATTCACTGAAGAATTTTTTTACAGAACAGTATTACTGAATTCAAGCTATAAACCGCTGAATTCTACACTAATTGTGCTTATGAAGATCATATACTGGAATTGGAAACTTTTCCCTCTCTCCAGCTATAGGGGTTTTTTGGTTTTACTTTTTGTTTGGAGTTGGGTTTTTTTTTTTTGTTTTCCCCTCCCCAAGTAAAAAGTATGTGACCATGGAGTAGCCCTTGGTGTTCACAAGATATGTCCCAAACATTTTGCAACAATGAGATGGGGAGGCGATAAGGRGAAATAAAGCAAACAGCTGTGTAAAGCCCTTCTATCATTCTCAGACCTAACTGAAGCCTACCACAGTAGTACCAAAGTGGGAACAAAAAAAAAACCTTAATATTATAAACACTAGCCATTCATCAGTCAGTCCTTTCTTAAAACTTAAATAAGTAAAAATAAAAAAGGCAGACAGTACTAATTAGGCTAAGCCATTGTTTGCAATGAAGCCACCAGAACCTCTTGAGCAGAGATTAGCAAACTAAGTAATCTTTTGGGAATTCTCCCTGGCCATTCAGCTAGTTAACAAAACTAYTCCATTCTTTCACTGTGATCCTGTGACAAGTTAGGACTGGATGTGGTGATCACAGGCCCACATAGCAAGGATACAGTCTGGATACTGTTCAAAACTCAGTCTGTGTGCCTAACATAACTGCTCCTGCTACCCAGGGCCCTAAGTCCATCTGAGGAAGCCAGAATCAAGAATAGCCCCTATAAGGAATATTTTTTACTACTTAGAAGTACAGGACTTGCTACCTTCCTCTCATATAATGTCTCTGTACTGGACAACGTTATTCTGACTAATAAGCATTATACTGGAATGTGGTAAGYATAGTAAAGGATAGCTGGCTTCCTCTATTTGAGCCCAGTGCACAGGTATTTTGCAATCGCATTGCATATAATGACTATAAATGCAAATAGAGCCAAACAGTWACTAGGATATGTTTTCAGGGCTGAAATCCAATAGAGCTTCAGATTCTAGAACACTTTATAAGAAAAAACAATAGAAGATATGCTGGTTTTTTCTGACCTTAAAACAAAGTTTTAACAGCTCCCATTTTTATTCAAGTAAAAAAAAAACCCCTCTTCATGTACTTGAAAAGGCCTTTACTGTCAAGAGAGAATTTGAAATTTAGTGGGAGAATAGCTTTTGAATCAGGGATATTCCTTTTGGGCAGTTTTCCTATTGAACACTGTGATAAAGCCATAAGCTTTTGAATCTCAAGCTGCACATCCACAGCAGAAAACAACAGCAATAAAAAAWATATTAAGAGCTAGAAACTGGGTTTTCTGAAAAGCCTGTGACATCAGCAATGCTGCAGGTTGGTCCTCGCAGACTTCCTCCTACGTGAAGCAGCAGCAGGGACATTCAGGCTGGGGCTCGGCTGTGCTCCGTGCTCCCTCTTCTGGCATCCAAGCCCGCGCAAAGAGCCAGCAGCAGTCTCGGGGGGGAGGGAGGGATAGGGGATGTTGGGAGGCTACCGCAAATGCATCCTGTTGGGTACACACCACTTCTATTTCTGTCTTTATCAGGGATTTACAGAGTAGCGACTTGCTTGTATCGAATTGGCTGCCTCCAACGAAGTGCTTCTCATTTTCTGAGTTCCAAATTCGAGCCTCGGGAAACTAAACGCAGAAATATCAAAAATCTATCATATGCATACAGCCTTCTCAGTACTGCAAACGTTCTGAGGAACAGAGCATCCCGATAACCTTGCACTAGGAAAGCCCTAATAATGCAGACAGGACCACAGCATGTACCCACAAGTTCAAGAAAAAGCCTATCGCTGAATTTAACACAGCTCTAAAATTATGGCTAGCACTCCCACTGCTGAACAACCTCTACCCTCAAATAACCTGTACATTATATTCATGGAAACTGTGCTTTGATTAAATGAAAACCAACCCAATTTAGCAGCCATTCTTTTATTGAATCCCTCTATGCCTTAGCTTTCTCAGCATTATAGTGATGATAATGCTACTAGTTCAGAATTTTGGGAACTCATTAGTATGAGCATTCAGATACTCTCCTAATGATCACTCTAGAAAAGCCTGCAGGAAAAGCAAAAAAAAGGAAAAAAAGAAAAAAAATCTCCTTTCAGATAAACACTTAACATCTTGCAGATACAGAGATACATTCTATTTTTTTTTAATTCAGTGAGCAGTTTCCATCTCAAACTGAAGGATCATGCATTAAAAAAAGTGATCATATAATTAAGGATTATCATAATATGCATGCATCACAGATGCAAAAGTGAAGCAATGAGCACTGAATTTTTCAGCCTTAATTTTTATATATGTTAAGCTTTGCATGTAATTTTTTTTATTATTTTATGTTCAGATGCAAACAGAAACTATTAGACTTTTATTTAAAGTCAAGAACTCCTCGGCGGATAAAAAAATTAGTAAATTGAATGTCTATGTATTTTCTTCTATAAATAAGTAAATTGATCCTGATATGAACCTGGCTGTAGCTAGTTACCCAAATATTAAAAAAAAAAAAAAAATATCAAAAACATCTTTGAAAGTTTAATTAGCATATTTTGGCAAAAAGAGATGATTTCTTAGAACAAATATTAAATGATATGGGGAAATTTGCCCTATCAAATACATACTATAATTTCTGTATATTACTGCAAACATGACACAAACACCTGGATTAAGGATACACAACTCCATTTTCATAATTTCTAAGCACAACTAATTCCAATGGAACACCATGGAGGCTCTGTAACAGCTTGGCAACCTCTCAAAGGAAAAACTGTGACATTAATTTTCTTCAAGCAARGTGAAGAATGAGCCTGGATTTATTAAAATAGAGGTAACATATGAAACACAATATTCTAAGGGTTTCATTCACAGATATGCTTACTTTACTTTTATTGTCTTATAAATCCAGCCAAACTTGCAGCATTAAAGAAAAAAATAATCTATTTCGACTTTGTAAAGTATCACTACAATAACTTGAAGGATGAAACAAAACAGGAAGTTGTTTCATTCCGAGAGACCATTCGGTAAATTCAAGCCACTCCTGTTTAAACTGGGGAACTTACTATATGCAGTCTGCAGTGCAGCATGTGACTCAAGCCACTAGGAAGTTCATGTTCAACAAACCGGAATAAATTACTTTTAACAATAAAGAAAGTCTAATTTCTTGATTTGCAATCAAGTGTGAACAGTACTAAATATTCCKGAATCAGCAAAAGATGGAAACAAACTTAACTTTATGGTACATGCACCTGAGGAGACCTGTATCTAAAGTCACCTATGACGCTGCTGATAGCACATAGAGAGAGGGTTCTCCCACACACAATCATATTTTTCTCACTCCCTTGCTCAAGTCCACATTTTCTTTCATCTCCCTTTTTTGTTCTTCAGGATTGCAAGAATTTTTTCAGTTTCTTGACTGTCATCCATTATACGTGAGGGAGCCTCATGGAGGGAAGAGACCTTTAGCGTGCCAGTTCCCCACTCTGCACACAAGCTAGATAAGGACAAGGCTAAACAGACTGGCTTGCGTAACACATTTGAACATGGCTGCTCCAAAAACCCACACATTGCACTTTTGCCTCTTGGTAAAGGGTTAGAGGACTATGCTCACTTTTCTCTGAACAGTATTAAGTGCATCTCGGCTCAGAACCAGACACTGACTCTGCTCTGTGCATCAACTGATTTTAAATATAGCAACCCCGAGAGCCTCAGAAGCCCCAAAAATCAAGAATTTATATAGTAGCATACATGCACTCCCTTTCTGCTTTTTCCTAAGCAATTTACATTTTTTACAAAGACAGTTTGCAACGAGATTTTGGGTTACATTAAGGTTCAAAATTCAGAAGTAGTAGCAGTTTAGCCTAATAAACATTTTTATAATATCTGGAGATTAACAGTCATAGACTCCCATAAGAGCTTCAAATGCTATCAGGTTTCCACAAGCAACAGGAACTGATACTCGACTACATTCAATAGCCCTCTACAGTAAACAATTTCAAAAACTGTTTCTCATTAGCCTTTTTCTCAGTTATGTTAGACACAACTGCAGTTAAAAGTTTAGGTCCTATGTTTTAAGCGTCATTTTCAATTTAGGTATCCCATCAGCATTTGACCAATGCACTAAGTTTGAAGGGATTTGTTTTGCAGTTCCTTTGAAAACAAAAATACTTGCTTTTATCTGGACAGCACAACAGCATTCAATGAAATGCACCCATCTATCAGTCTGTAAGGCCAAATCCAAATTAAGTGTATCACCAACAGATCCACTGGGAATCATAATTAAACAATAATCAATTTCTTCCTTTCAGAGTACATCTGTGGGTATTCACGTGTTTTCACTACTTAAAGTTCTTGTTTTGCTTGTGCAATTTTAATAGATTATTTAGTTTAGATGTTGTTTGGTCAGTATTTCTTATATTCACTACTTAAGTTTTCAGAAGTGTTTTTCCAGCACATATTATATAGAAATGCATAAATTGTCACATGTATTATCTGTCCTCACATTCACAGTTGCACAAACTACTTCCCTTTTCATTTATGCCTAAATAAAAGTTAGGTAAGGCAACCGCTTACTCAGAGAAATTTCAACATAGTTTTTTAGCTACTGTTGACTGTCATTTGAATTGGTAAAAATATAAAGATGAGACAGTGCTACGTGACAAGGAAATATTGCTGGCAAAACTGCAATACTCTCCTACTAGTAGGTTTTCACCCTGACTTCTAACAAACATCATGAAGTTACTAGATTTGGTTTTGCTTTAAGTTAACTGGACMCTCCCCATCCAAGTACGACATCATAATTCTTAATCTATAAAAACCCTTTAAATTGAAGCCAAATTTAATCTGATCATTTCTGAGCATAGTTCCTTTTTAACATTCAGAAGAACACTCTYAGTTTTGCATCTCAATCAAACTTTCACACATTCAACCAGAAACATGAATCACACTAGTGCTATTTCAGGGAACAGCGTACAGCTATAGTGGAAGGGGGAAGTGTGCCATCCACCAGATCACACTTGACACAGAGGTCATAATAATATGTGAGATTAAATGTAAAGGTAATTTACTAAGAGCAAATACATTTTTTTTAAGAAAAACTTGTACCCATTTGCTGTCAGGACATTCATGGCTTCTGTGCTAAAGATCAATGCTTGCTAGAACATCAAAACATTTTGTYGTTCAGGTCCTAATTTACATTAGTTATAATAACTTAAAACAGCTTTTTTTTTTTTTTTTTTCCTGCAAGAAAATTATAAGAATTTGGTAATCTTTCCAAGCTTACTGCTGCAGTACTGCCAAC